TGTCTGTGAATGGGCATACACATGCCACAGTGCATGAGTGGCGTTAGGACCGCTCTCGGGAATCGGACCTTTCACAATGGGTCTGGGTTCTGGGAAGCGAACTCAGGTGTCAGGGTTTGCACAGCAAGTGTCTGAGCCACTGACCCTGCTGTTTTCAACTTGTGGGTCGTGACTTCTTTGAGGGTCATATATCAGATATCTTGCGTATCAGATATTTACATTACTATTCATAATTAGCAAAATTAGTTATGCAGTAGCAATGAAAATAATGTTACGGTTGGGGGTCACCAACGCATGCGCGTTAAACGGTTGCAGCAGTAGGAAAGTTGAGAGCCGCTGCTCTAAACCATTTCTCCCTCTGAAAGTCAGCTTTTTGTCTGATGGCGCACAGCTTCTCCGTCTTTGTTGTCACAGCGTTTACTAGGTTGTCTCCTTGCTGGTTGTCACCTGGGACACTGCACCTTTCTGTAAAGTCCTCTTTTGTTTCTCAAGCATTTTCTTATGTCTTCAGACATCTGTTCCACTTAGAATCCATTTGGGGTCCTAAAGCACACAGGTGTGGATTCTCCTTAGACTTCCGCAGCTGCCGTTTCCCCTGGCCTGGCTTCTCTGACTTGTCTTTACTTTCAGCCTCTATTATTTTGTTTCCAGCATGGTCTTTAGTTCTCTTGTGTTTTGTTTTTCCTTTTTATTTTTAAAGATTTATTATTTTAAACTATGTCTAGATGAGGATTTCCTGGCTCTGATCCCAGGCTCTCTTCAGACACCTTCCAGTGAAGGCATTTGTGGGTTTCACAAAGGGACAGACTGTTCTCAGTAGAAGACCCCACTGTATACTCTATTGGCAGGTGTGTTCTTCACTTAAATAAGTTGCATGTTAGGGACCTGGCCGGTTGTCCCACCCGATGTCATTTTCAGAAACACTGACTAGCTAGGACTTCTGAGAGCTACAGCGTAGAGAGAAGGACTCAGAACCCTGGGTCCCCCAAGGCACCCAGCTGGGACCGCAGAGTGCCTCGCTGGCCCTCAGTCAACACTGTCCTGTGTAAAATGAGCTAAGCTTAAAGCATCTCTGGAAAGACAAGAAGGATCCAAGTGTGTGAGAATGACTGTGCAGGACGACCTGACGCAAATAAACTGATGGCCACCGTCAATTGTCTGTTGATTCTGCTGTGCTGCCATCTCCTGGATGTAAACTGAAAATCTGAGGTTTTAGGTTTTCTATGATTTATTTTACGTGCATTGGTGTTTTTTGCCTGCTTGTATATCTGTGTGAAGGGTGTCAGATCCCCTGGAACTGGAGTCACAGGCAGTTGTGAGCTGTCAATGTGGGTGATGGAAACTGAACCCGGGATTCTATGGCAGAGCAGTGAGTGTTCTTAACTACTGAGCCATCTCTCCGACCCCAGGTTTTTAGTTTCTAATCATATATGTTTAAACAATCTGGATTTGGGGTCATGGTAGGTTCTAAATATTTATATTCTGCCTTACAGTTAAGGAACTATTTACCAGATCCTTGAACACTTGAGACAGAATGCTGTAGTCCACAGCCTAGAGACTCGACTTCTAAAACTCAGGTCTTTAGCTTTTGGGGGGCCTTAAACACTGCAAAGGTCCCACTTGCATTTCCTGGTTCTCCAACCTACAGTCAATGGAAAGGTGTGGAATGGCCCCCAAAAACCAGAAGTTCAAAAATCTGCCCTTGCTTCCTGAGCAGAATGAGCCCATTTTTTTCCTTCCTCAAGTTCTGCTAATGTGTGGTGTGAGAATTCAAATTATCACATTTGTGCAGGAGAGACTGTCTCTTATGGTGAGAGGTAACAGGTGCAGGGCTACAGCACCACCCTGACAGTAGCCCTCAGTTATCTTAAACCTCATTTATAGCTCTGGCAAAGCCAGGATCCCCAGGATGGCACAGGACAAGAAAAGCAGTATCCCAGGCCTTTCTGAAGTCTGTCAGATCGTGGGAGGGAGCCAGGCTAGAATTGCAGTACCTGGTAAAGGCCAGTGGGGATTGGAGTTTGTGTCCTTATACTTGAATTTACTTCAGTATCCTTGAGGTGAGGTCAGGGTCCAGCTGAAGAGAGCTGCCTAACCAGCCTTCTGTGGCAGGCCAAGGTTCCCAGCAGCGAGAAGAGGAAGCTGCTGTCTGCTGAAGATGAAGAGGGGACTGTCTATCTTGAATACAGCCCCTGGACCAGTTCCCTGACAGTGTCACTATGATGTATCTTTTGTTTTGTTTACTGGTTTATTTGGAGGTAGACTCTCATTGTTTAATGCAGGCCTGACTGGAACTCACCACACAGTCCAGGCTGGCCTTGAACTTTCAATTCTCTTGCCTTAGTCTCTCTACAGTGGAATTACAGGCCTGTACCATCTCTATGCTTATTGTGATGCATCTTGTTAGGAAATATTGTTACATTTCTTTTAAAATTATTAGACAAAGGTTCCTTGTGAAAATATGGCCACTTAAAGTCAAATAATGCTGGTGGGTGGCAGACATCTGTAGTCCCAGCACTCATGGGGCTGAGGTACTCGAACTTGAAGCTAGCAATGTGAAATTAGTCTGGACAACAAGGTGAGCCTCATCTCAAAAAAAGAAAAAAGGGGGCTGGAGAGATGGCTCGGGAGTTAATAGCACTCACTGCTCTTCCAGAGGTCTTGAGTTCAATTCCCAGCAACCACACGGTTGCTGTAAAGGGATCTGATGCCCTCTTCTGGTGTGTCTGAAGACAGCTACAGTGTACTCATATAAATAAAATAAATAAAAAGATTATTGTAGTAAAAACTGCTGGTTCCTGTCCAGCCTCCATTCCTGACTACTTTTTATTCTGGTATCCATTTCTCTCTACTCATTTGCTTCAGAGTGTCCTGACCCTCTGCTCAGCTTAGGGATGGACCTTAATTGGCCTACAATGATCAGGATAAATCTCTTTCATATTCATTGGTTCTGGCTACTAACTTATGGGTGGGCATTTCTTGCCAAGAGGGAGGCTTAGAAACTTCATGTGATCTGAATTGGTGTGAGGTAGAAGGGAGCTGAACTTCGGAATGTGCCTAACCCCAGCCTTGAGCAGGCCTGAAAGACCTTGTTTACCACCATAGACCAAATAACAGGATCTAGGTGGAGTTACCCACCTTGGCTGCACAAAGAACCTGCTATAGGAACTTAGAAGAATAAACTGCCCAATGAGCTTGCCTTGAGACATCTCCGGCTGTGAGTAAGGATGGGTTCCCCACCCATCTCCCGCTGAAACAAGAAGGGGTTCAGTGGGGCTTCTCCTTTAAATTAGAAGAGCTGAACTTGGAGCCTTGATCAGAGAACTTTGTCTTGCCTTCATGTTTCTCTCGCCCTTCTGTCCCTTTCTTCATTTGCAACCCCCCTTTCAGCTGAACCCAGTTGGTCCATGGCCGCAGGTGGCTACACGGGAATACAAACACCAACGCTCTTCTGAGCTACCCTCTTTTAACAGAGTATCTCACACGGATGTGAAACCCAGAGCCAGGGCTCTCTGCCTCAGTGAAGTCGGCCTGAGAATAAAGCTGGCATGACACAAAAAGAAAGGAAAGTGGGCCTTCTGTGACATCGCTGAGCTGCTTGTCAATCCCTTAAGGACGCCTCTGGATTTTGTTGTAGGCTTAAATTTTTTTGGGTTTTTTGTTTGTTTAAAATTTATTTATTTATTTATGAGTACATTATAGCTATCTTCAGACACACCAGAAGAGGGCATTAGATCCCATTACAGATGGTTATGAGCTACCATGAGGGTGCTGGGAATTGAACTCAGGACCTCTAGAAGAGCAGTCAGTACTCTTAACTGCTGAGCCATCTCTCCAGACCCCAGATTTTTTTCAAAACCTACTTTAATTATGGTTCATTAATGCTTCTAGCCTACTACCCACCAGAGGTGGGGAGAAGAAATATGAAACAGAGGTTGTGGGCACGTTCAGAAACCATTATTTGGAGGGACTCCAATCTTCGTTGCCAGCAGTCCAATACATTAGCAAAATACCAAACACAAATCAGTAGTGGTGGCTTGATCCAGAAGAAACTGCAAGGCTCTGCCAACTGATGAGTCTGTGGAAGCTACAAGCAGCAGCCAGAATACCACCATAAGTTCTTCGGTGCATTTCTCTCTACAAAATCAAGACAAGTGAAGATCATGGAAGAAAGCTAAGGCGAACCAATGCAAGAGTGTCATTTGTTGCCTGTTGGGTTATACTAGACTCTTTCCAAACATCCTGTGTCCTCTCAAGCATTCTCTCCAGCAAAGCATCCCATGCCCTTTCACCAGGCAACTTCCAGAAAAACAAGTGTCTATTCTCACCAAAACATCCTCTCACATGTCTGCTTCAGCAAAACATCCTCTCATAAGACAGGTTCCAGAAAAACATCACACGGTACGACTGAGTCTAATTCCCACTTCATTTTGTAAGCATGTTAACACATCCACTTGACACGTGGATGGAATGTTTCTGTTCCATGAGAATTATCCCATAGTAAGTCATGCAAGGCTTCAGGTGAAATCCCTTTTGACACCCAGTGGAACTGTGGGAAAGAATGGGAAAGTTCTCTAGCCCAAACCACATGAAACAAGGACTCAGAGGCAGGGTGGTAGAAGAGCATCTTACAAGAGAAGAGCTGGGTTTAAAGCAATTCTGCCTCTAAGAAGAGGCACTGTGCTCTGGATGAGCCTCCTGACTGTTCTTGCTCTTGGTTCCTGAGGAGTAATTTCTACTTCTTTTACACCAGGCATTTTTAAAATTGGCATTCCTTGTGGATTTTGTGATTGATACATTTTTCTTATGTACTTACCGGCAAAGCACACACTATAAATCAGAGAAATTATGTTATTACATTACTGTAACTTGGCTGGGCATCCTGTGCATGTCTATATGTAATCCAGAACGTGGGAGGCCAAAGCAGAGTGAGAGAAAGGCTGCACGGCAAGTACTCCATAACGATATACTGTCTCAGAAACAACAGGAACAACAGCGTATTAAAATCTAAGTCAAATATGTGAGATAGATTTATTATCTTTTCAGCTGTATATACACACACGTGTGTTACTGAGCAATATAAACACGTCATCTATAGATCCAGATATATAGGCTCATGTGTCCCAGGCTGATCTGAAACTATTATGTAAGGATCGCCTCCTCCTCCTGCCCGCAGCTCCAGTGCTGGGATTATAAGAGTGTACTACCACACCCAGTTTACACAATGCTGGGGACTGAATCCAAGGCTTCATGCACAGCAGGAAACACTCCCAACTGATTTCTGATGGGCTTTACAAACAATGAAAAAAACTTCCAGGTCATCTTTATCATTTAAAAATTTTTTTTAAAGTTATTTTTAATTATGTATGTGTCTGTCTCTATCTCTGCAGGTGTGTCTGTGTATGTATATGAGTGTGGGCATCCTCAGACCAGAGGCACTGGATCCCTTGAGACTGGAGTTACAGGCAGTTGTGAGTCATTCCATGTTGGGTTTGCTAGGAACTCAGGTCCTCTCCAAGAGCGGTACACACTCTTAACTGCTAGCCATTGTTCCGGACACTTCTTTATTCTTTTAAGATTGTTGTAGATTCCTAAGAACTTCTAGATTTGAAAGTTTAGAAAGCTCCAAAAATAACTGACATTAAGTTATGTGTCTTCATGATTATTTACTTTTCCACAAAATGTTCCAGAGAATCTTTAAAAGATATAAAGAAAATACTTTTGCATTTAAAAAAAAAACCCAAAAACTTAAAATAGAAGCAGTATAAAAGGTTTCTCAGCTGTAAACTGAATTAGAAGACCCCAGAACTCCAGAAACACTGGAGCTGTGAGGCTAAAGGCATTTCACTAGGACTGCAGGGAACTGTTTCCTGTCATCCTCCGTGCCCTGACCTTCAACTCACCTCCCAGGGCCTGCAGGTCAGAAGCTCCATCACGGACAGCAGCTGTTTCGTTGTAATCCCATGAAATTAGCGTAATGTATTTCAGGCTGTTTGCACTCAGGGATTTTAAAGGTTTATTTAGTGTGAATGTGTGTATGTGTCTGGAGTGCACGCACATGAACCACGGTCTGCAAGTGACCTCAGAGGCCAGAAAAGAATGCTCGGACACCCTGGGACTGGAGTCTGTGTGAGCCCTCCAGTGTCAGTGCTGGGAGCTGAGCCCAGTCCCCTGGAAGAGCAGGGGTATTAACCACTGAGCCATCTCCAGCTCCCATAGTGAGGGATTTGAGAGCCTGTATTTAATGTATATATAGACCTAAGCTTTCTGCTTTTACTTTAGTCTGATCTTATCTATGCATTCCATTCTCCACGTCTGGGCACTGTTGTTTATTTTCCTGTGTGGCCCCCTCCACTCTTATGAGAGCTCCACAAGGAAGTACATGCCATTTCTCGCCTTTATTTCCTTTCGGCTTCTGTTTTCAGCTTCTCCAAGACCTCCTCTGGAGTTGTAGAGGCCAAAAGCTTCACCACCTTTTCCCGAGATTTACCACCCTGGGGCAGAAAGAAAAAGACACCTTCAGCATCCTCACACTGGCAGGGGCAACAGTCCTCCCTGTCCCCACTGCAACTCCCCACGTTAACCCCACTGCCACCGGGGGTTAGCGTGGCCTTTCCCAACAGCCCTGGACGCTCCACCTCACGGCAAGTTCCTACAGCTCTCCAGGGCTTTTGCTTTTCTACTTCAAGTTTTATAACAAAAGTCTGGTATTAAAATTTCAACATGAGCCGGGAAATGGTGGCGCACGCCCCTGTAACTCTAGTCTTAGAGGATCTGACACCCTCTTCTGGCCTCTGAGGGCACCAGGTATACATGTGGTACAGATATATACCCAGGCAAAACAACCGGACACATAAAACTTTTTTTTTTCTTAAAATCTGGCTTTACAAAAACCTTTTATAGAAAATATGAACTATGATCAAAACATAATAATTTAAAAAGGAGAGACCCACCTTATCCAGAACCACGTCACTCTTCCTGAGGTCTAAGACCTTGGAAAGGTACCGACAGAGCTCCGCATTTGCCTCTCCCTCAGACGGAGGTGCTGCGATGGCCACACCAACGGCCTCAGTGCTCAGGTCTAGGGAAGAAATGGTGTGGACTTAGTCCTTCAGGGGCTTCATTTCCTCACGGAGCAAAGAACCGTCAAGCAGTATGTATTTGCCTGGGACAGGATTTCAACTAATAACTGTTGAGCTAGGTTCAGTCTCTTGCATACAAACACTGAATTGATGCCAGAGAAAGAAAAATAGTCTCTACAGTTACAGAACACAGCCGCAAAACACTACTGAGACAGGTCTAGAGTCTTAGAGAGCGTCTTGGATTTAGGCAACTAGACATTGACTTTGACTAGGAAGAGTCTCTAAGAAGGGAGTCAGGGGGGGCCGGGTGGTGGTGGCGCACGCCTTTAATCCCAGCACTTGGGAGGCAGAGGCAGGCAGATTTCTGAGTTCGAGGCCAGCCTGGTCTACAGAGTGAGTTCCAGGACAGCCAGGAATACACAGAGAAACCCTGTCTCGAAAAACCTAAAAAAAAAAAAAAAAAAAAAGGGAGTCAGGGAGCCAGCTCCAGGTCCAGCTCCAGCTCCAGGTCCAGGTCCAGCTCCAGCTCCAGCTCCAGGTCCAGCTCCAGGTCCAGCATGGCAGAAGCTACACAGACGAAGCTGCACACTGGACTGCACAGGGTTCAGGTTTCACATCAGGAAAAGCCAACCACTAGGCTGGGTTCCTTCCTTTTGAGATATGCGTCTTCGATGCTTTCAATATCCAATGCATTTAGCATTTACGTAATAATTTCAGTACCTTTACGAGCATGTTAGCCTCCCTAAAGGGCTTCACTGTAACTGGGCACCATTATCACATTATTAACCCCATTTACAGGTGACACAATGTGGCCTGTAGCGCTTCACAGCTCTTAGGAGAGCAAAGTATTTACTCAAAGTCGTTCACAAATGAACTTGAGCTGATCCCGCATCTGAGATCACTCAGCCACGCCCACATACATGTACCCTGTGTAACAACACATCTATACAGCCCACAAGAACCAGACAGTAAAAGGCTCTCCCATTACCTCTCAGATGCAGTTTTTCATGCTAGCATCTCTAAAATCGAGCCGTGTCTTCAAGAAGAGTTTAGTTGTACTAATTTTTAAAAAATAATGTTATGTGAATACTTATATCCCTTATAGTTGATTTCATCTTAGATTTGACTTGGGAAATACTGGCCAAACGTTGGGCTTGGGGCACAAGCCTATAATCCTAGTACTTGAGAGGCAGAGGCAGAAGGTAAGTTTGAGCATAGGCTACGCTGTCTGTATCTTATCTGGCAACAGAGTCAAGACAACAGGATACGAACACAAACCAGGCCTACCTAATTTTTTTTTTTTTTTTTTTTTTTGGTTTTTCGAGACAGGGTTTCTCTGAGTAGCCCTGGCTGTCCTGGAACTCACTCTGTAGACCAGGCTGGCCTCGAACTCAGAAATCCACCTGCCTCTGCCTCCCAAGTGCTGGAATTAACCTATTTTGGTTTTGATATCTTTTCAAAATATAAAAATAATTTGGTATACAATGCTTTATCTTTGCTTGTGAGAGAGGGTCTCTGTGTAGATTCTCTAGCTGTCTTGTCACTCTGTGGATCAAGTTGGCCTCAAACTCAGAGATCCGCCTGCCTCTGCCTCCTGGGCCCTGGGATTAAAGGCGTGCGCCACCGCTGCCCGGCACAAAACTTTATCTTGAAAATAAAGACTCTTAAGACAATGCAGATCAAGTTTTAACCTCACTTAGGAGTCAGTCAGCAGTATCAAAGCTCAGGCGTCCCCCAATGTTAGGTTCATGATCATTAAACTAAACCAAAGAACCCTCTTCTCCAGCAGGGCCTCTACACTTTGGAACAGGAATAATTAAGAATAGTTATCTAAATTACACATAGATTTCCCAATGTGTCCTTCCTAAACATTTTGTTGTTCAGAGACAGGGTTTTGTTTGTATTCTAGCTGACCTCCTGTCTCAGTTCCTAAGTACTTGTGAATTATTGGTATATATGACCAGGTCCATCTCCAAAACACCACTTTTTTTTTTTTTTTTGGTTTTTCGAGACAGGGTTTCTCTGTGTAGCCCTGGCTGTCCTGGAACTCACTCTGTAGACCAGGCTGGCCTCGAACTCAGAAATCCGCCTGCCTCTGCCTCCCAAGTGCTGGGATTAAAGGCGTGCGCCACCACCGCCTGGCAAAACACCACATTTTTAAAAAGGAAAAGATACAAAGATTCCATCTGATTTGGTATTAAATATTGTACATTTTCTTTCAAGTATCTTCATATGAGACTATAGAATGTTTAAATGAAGATGCCTCTAAATGCAGATATAAAAAATACCATTTGCAATTACAGGATAAACTTTTAGATAACAAGGCAAAAGGAAGATAAAGAAACTGCTTGATCCACATCCAAATACCACCCAGCGCTCAGACGTACCTGTCACAGCATTCTGTTTGGAGCCGGGTTTGGCATGGATGGCTATGGTGACAAAACCTTTAGGATCAGTTGCTACAGGCCCCGCAGGGGGAGGTGGTATCTCTGGTTCCTTGGTTTGGTTTTTACCCTAAAATGACACACACAATTTTATAGGTTACAAAATACTTCAGTTATTTTGACCCATCACTACCCTCACCTTCACTAAACTGGGCCTACCATCCAGGAACTGGCCACCACTGTGCTCGTTCCATGCCCCTCCACCATTCAACCTGCTCCCCTACCAACCAATGTTTGCACTGCTCTGGAAGACCTGGCTCTGGCCTCCACACCGCTCTCTGGTCAGCTTATAATTCACTTTCCCCACAAGCAGAAACTATTTGTTACTTACAACTATATGTGGCCTAAAGCTGGAAGTGTGTGTGTGTGTGTGTGTGTCCTGTTTAGATCTCTTGGCTAGCTTAGGACTTGCTCCCATGGTCTGCTTTACAGTTCCTATTCCTCAAGAGGAGGGCCATTTACTAGTCATCTTTATATCCAATGCATGCTAAAGCGCAGAGTGGGTGAGGAGTCCACTGCAGAAAGAACAATGACTGGCATTTAAATGCCACCTAACAACCTAACAGAAAACAACTTCCAGGGCAGTATGCAGACAGTGGGTATGAAGGGGAATAAGGATTCATACTCCTTGTCTTCAAGGGGCTGGGATCACAGCGACGGAGAACAAGGGATATTAGGGGAGGGAGTGCTGTCTCCCTGACAAAAGGAAGCGATCTGCCACCTTTGGGAGGCAGAACGCACAGCCTGCTGGGAAGTGTAACCCTCAAAGTGCGGGAGCGAAGACGGAGGCCAGCGGGTGGGTGCGGGTGCGTAGTGAGCCTACTCAGTGTTCCTAGAGCGAGCTAATAAACGACCCAGGAAGTCTCAGACCTGGTCCCGAAGGGAGGTCTTCCGCCCTCCAGGCGCTGCTTCTGTTCCCCGCCAGTGTAGCCCCGTGGCCCACCCTCTCCACATCACGGGACTTGCCACTGGCCTTGCTTGTCGCACCGGCTTTCTTAGGCATTGTGGAACCACACAGGAGTCTAGCAGAGGCCAAGCGCAGCGACCTGCGGCAAGCTGCGGCATCCCAACCCCGCAGGCCTCACGGAAGGCGGCAGCATGGCGGATGAGTCCTGTGCGCCTGCGCACGTCATGGACGGACGCAGCATCCACACCTAAGAGCTCCACCTCGCCCGGAGATGGCGCTGTTTTCATTCTTTTGCAACTTGGCAGCCTCGGGGTGTGATCCATTGGTCAGCACAGGGAAAGTTGTCACCTGTCCTTAGGATCCGTAAGAGCAGCCAGCCTCGGTGCTCGCCCAACGTGGCACCACGGCAATTCGCACAGGGCAGTGTGAAAGAAGAGGAGATCCACTGTGAAGCGGAATGCAACAGCTCATGAAGCTGGAGCAGAGGCAAATCAATGCTCAAGGGCTCAAGTTAGGGACTGGCCTTGTCCAATCAGGTTAGAATGTGTAGACAGTCTATGCCCAGAGGTAGGAAGATCTGCTACCTAAATGGGAGATGGCTTGTAACCATTTTGAGGATCTTTGGGACATGAATGATCTGAGACGGGGGAAAAGATCATCTGAAGATGCCTAAGTCTAGGGCTAGCAAACAGTTTTGGGAGTCCGAGGGGAAGTTTTTACGGTACATTAAGTTTGAAATGATTGGAGACATCGAAGTGAAATAGTAAAGGAGATACCTGAATACATAACCAAAGCATCAGAGATCTGTGCCAGTGAGAAGAGAGAGAGGGGAAGGGAGGGAGGGAGGGAGGGAGGGAGGGAAAGAGAAAATATGACAAATGTCAAACAGCTGCGCGTTCAGATTCAGCAACAGGTGAGACTGGAATGTGAATGCTCAAAACAGCCACTAAAGGTTGGGATCAGAACGGGATGTCTCAGTTTACTCTCCCAGGGACACCATTTCCATGACACGTTATGTGGCGAGCGAGGTCATGAGAAAGTGGCTCAGGTGATCCAGGTGTTAAACACACCACACCTATTTCTTTAGAAATAAATTACAAATAGAGGCACAAAGTGGAGCCAAAATTATACTGTAGTAATTTGGTGAATTTTGAGGTGAAATCATGATACCCTCTTTGAGCAGTTGTTCTCAACCAGTGTGGGTCTCCACCTTTGCCAAACCTCTCCCTAAAAATATTAACATTGTAATTCATAACAGTAGCAAGGTGAGTTATGAATTAGCAACAAAAGTAATGGTTTGATTGGGGGTCACCGCAACATTAGGAAGGCTGAGAACCACTGCTCTAGAGACTTGACAACTTTTTTTTGTAAACAGAGAGAACATGTGTTAATGAATTTCTGATGGTGCCTGGCATGTGGCTGGATGGGTAAAGGAGAGGGAAGAAATGTCCTCTAAGGAACCCTTCAGCCTTCTCCACAAGTACTAGGAAGAGCAGGAACTCTCCTCCGGTCAATCTGTCACACAGCCACCCGCCCCAATGGAAAGAACAGGGTCAGTGATCCAAACGGCAGAAACCCAATGTAGAATTAGGTTTTCAAAAAATCTTAGCCGGGCGGTGGCGGCGCACACCGCACGCCTTTAATCCCAGCACTTGGGAGGCAGAGGCAGGCGGATTTCTGAGTTCGAGGCCAGCCTGGTCTACAGAGTGAGTGCCAGGACAGCCAGACTTACACAGAGAAACCCTGTCTCGAAAAAGCCTAAAATAAATAAATAAATAAATAAATAAATAATCTTAAGACTTGATCTTAGATTTGACAATGGAGTTAAAGGTTTTGTTTTGTTTGGCATTTAGCTAGAATAAATGCTGTGGTTCTTTCTCTTGTCTTTTGAATGTGAGGATAAGAACAGAGACAGAAGGCTAGGCTCAAGAAGGCACTAGCAAGATAAGGGGCAGTAAGCGATGCCGATATTCTCTATTACTGTTCTATAAGCACCTTTCCTTTGAAAGTGTATGTCTTCCTAAAACTTCATGTTGACCTAAATACAGTGTTTGAAAGTGCAAATATTCCATCTTAAATTGCTGGGCAGATACTAGAATGGCAGTGTTTTAAAGGCATACTTTTTAAGTGTATTGATATTCTATAGTAGGTACAGGTTAGTAAAAATAATATATAATATACATGTCTTAATATATAATTGTATACAATATCACCATCATTTTATTATTAAGACAGGGTCTCTGACAAATTCTGGCTCTCCTGGAATTTGCTCTGTAGACCAGGCTGGCCTCCACCTGTCTCTGTCTCTCCAGTGCTGGGATTAAAGGTATGCACCACAACCACCTGGCTGTTTTGGCAACTCAACAAAGCATTTTTCTCGCTCGATAGTGTGGGGCATAAAAATCACTTTAAATCATATCCAGTACCACGTAGTAACCTTTCTAATTTCTTTGTTTGGGCACTGTAATACCAATGCAGTGACAAGAATGTATGCAAAACACAACACAAAGGCCAGTGCACAGTAATCACTCAGGCTGGCATTTTACAACTAGGGATGGAATTCAAGCTAGGTGTCTTAGTCAGTGTTCTATTGCTGTGAAGACACACCACGACCAAGGCAACTCTTATAAAGGAAAGCATTTAATTAGGGTTTGCCTACAGTTCAGAGGTTTTAGTCTGTTATCACCATAGTGGGAAGCATGATGGTGTGCAAAGGCCACAACTTCTAATAGTGCTATCCCCTATGAGCCTATGGGGGCACTTTCATTCTAACCACCACAGTGGGCAACTGCTGCACCGTGATGAGTAATTTCCTGCTCAAATCTGTAAGTATTAGTTAAAGTTAGAAGTACATAAAAGCTAAACTTAAACTGGAACTTTTGTTCCAAAGTAGTATCTCATTCAAGTTTTAGAGAAAAAGAGAAGTGACAAAAAAAAATAGGTAAACAAAAAGGATAAATTTATTTTAAAAATTCCAGGTGATGTCCCAATGTCAGTGAATGGTTCCGTATCTTGTACCTTCCATGACTACATTCAGTTAAGTTCTTCAGTAAAACACAAGGCATGTGAATGCCCCAAATGTCAAAAGCACTAACTTACCTCTGGCATGCACTACTGGTTAAGGAATGGTTACTACATACAGTCTTTACTTATCTTCAGCTAAGCAGAATCACTTCAGCTAGCTGAGGTTTATACCCATAAGACCATGGTATCAGAACAGACTGAAAACAGTTCCTTTTCTTCAACAACTTCAAGAGATCCTGGCCACCAACACATCACCTCCCTGTCCTCTTGAAAATACAAAATATGACTTTTGATGAAAACTTTTATATCTTATTTAGAAAAGTTCTTAAGTTGATACTTAAAAGAATTATCTTTAATAACTTCCCACAACTATCTGATAGACTGATATACTTTAAGCTTAATTATACAAGGTTTGTTTTTTTGTAAGATTATTTTCAAGGGGAAAATGTTATCTTACTTGTATTTTAAAAATCTGCTTTATATAAAAATGTAGAAATGTCACACTGCCATATATCCTTTTGATCCACTATTATAGACACTCCAGTCACATCAACGAGGTCACAAATATCAAGCACTTTTAGTTCCTGGGTAGACCTATGTAGGTGACACAGAGCCTCCTTCCTTTTCAGCAGGAGTGACTGGCGGGACAGCTGTACAACTATACAGCTGTTGGGGATCCTGGCACTCTACCCTCCTTCCTTCTGTGTAAGGGCACTGCAGGGCTGAAGTGGTCACATGCTGGCATCGTCATACACCCATCATCTGGGATTACTAGCAGCCCGCGTGGCAGGCTTAGTGGGGTGGGAATGATAAAGAGCCCATCTCAGATCATCCCTTTAGATCTGTTTCTATCACACTGTGAATTTATACAAACCCCACTTCCAGCTTTAAAACAGTACTATGTGATGCACTTCTATGCTGTTACAAAGTACCTTCCCTGGAAACGCACTGAAACTTCTCTTGGGTGTTTTCTAGGTTTACTTTTATCATTATTCCCAAAGCTAATGACCAGATATTTGAAAACCCAAATATAAAGTCAGTTTTCTTAATTTTCTGAAACTAGTTATTTGAGTTAAAAAGAATTCTGTACAAATACTCACCCATTTCATCTAACTTTCAAAACAGTCAAAACAGAAGTTTAAAAAAAAAAAACCAAACACCCACATCTGCTATTTGTGACAAGAATCTCTCAATTCCCAAATTACTAAAAGATGACGAGTCAGAGGATCTACGAAATCACACAAGACAAAGCAGAAAAGATGGCAGTTTACACACGAACCTGGTTCTCTTTGCTCCGAAGGTTACAAGAAAAAGAAAGTCTGCCTTTGAAACATGCAGATTTAAATGAACTATTTTACTTCTAAGAAACTAAAATGTTTCTTAATTTGTAATTATAAATACTCAAGACACTCAAACTATTTGTGGCCAGTTGTTTATGCTTTTGAGATTAGACTGAATGGGTTTTTAACACTAGGTTATGTATAAAATATTATTTCTGGTATTTGTCCATCTTCTATTGATGTCCCATTGTTATTGCCAGGGGAACTGAAAAATAAGAACACTGTCTTGCTTGCAGCAGGGGTCTCATGCACCACTTTCTTCAGTCCCTTTGTGCCGTAGTGAGAATCTGGACCCTAAACGGAAACAAACGGTTTAGTGGTTGTCATTTAAGGAGCACTCAATGTGTTCTCATTTGTCTAACCGGCTACCCTATTCATTATAGACTCAGTATAAAATTTCATGCAGCCATCTCATGAAATATGAGGTTTTTGCTTAAAAACAATTTTAATAACAATATGGAGTTCAGCCATTAACAACTGTGAAAAGGTTTTAAGAAAACAATTGTGAAAGTTCAACTTCCTTTAAACAAAGTTCTTGGGAAGAACTTTTCTCAGAACAGAGTAGTCCTGGGCAGCACTTAGTGCAGTAGAGCATCTTAGCTCTGGCTTTCTCTTCCCCTTTCTAAGAGACTCCCATGGCAGTGACTCTGTATCACATGGAGGCCGGGAGCCTCCAGAGTGCATGGCTGGCACAGCCTGTGGGGCTGAGGGGCTCTTACCTTGAGTGTTGCGCACGCTGTGTAACAGACGTTGGGCAGAATCTCTATAGGTTCTTTGAACATGACCCTGAATGTGTTAGCAGTCCCATCACAACTAAATCCAGTGTCATTCTGACCCAAGGTTTGCTTTTTTTCATATTCAATGATCTGTGATTTTTAAAAGAGAAGTTACATTTAAGTTAAATTCTAACAGTCTTGTGGGAAAGAATATGAAGCTTTTAGAAACTGTGACATAGTGAAAACTTTTCTCTACTTATCTTTAATTATCAAAGATACCTTTTTAAAGCATGCAATGATCAGAAAATGGCTCTTTAACTCACGCATCACAAGAATAGGGAAGACATCAAGCAACAGGGGCTTGGCTATAGAAGAAGATTCCGTAAAAAAAAGTAGAGTTTGGTGTACGACCTTAGAATGTGGCCTTGTGATCTTAAGAGGGAAAGAATCTGTCCTGCTTGTTTAGCCCATGTCTTATTCCTACAATAATCTCAACACTTTCAGCTTCAATATTTACTGAAATTAAAATGTCCTTAAAAGCACTGTTGTCATGTCTGTGAATAAGTTCAACACGATCTATCATATGTGCCAAGTGATAAACAGAGCACTCAGGGACATCCTCCAGGAGGGTCCAGGCCACAGGAAACATGCTGGCAGTGCCAGTTCAGATGTTAAGGAGGACAGAGTTAACTACTTGTGTTGAAGAGGGCTGAAGCTTCCAGGAGGACAGTTTGAAAAGCTCAAGTCATAGCTTGCCAAGTGACTAGGAGGGCTTCCACACATGGGAACAGTATGTAGGGGCAAGCTTACCCTCATAAGCCTGCTTTCTACCAACACTCTAGCAAAAGCTACCTAAAGCTGAGGTTAGAACAGTGTTTCCTCTGTAGGGGAGGGTGGAAGGATCACTAAGAGTTCTAGATGTTGTTTTGTCTTGTTCCTTGACTAGGCATTAGTTATAGTCTGTAAAAACTATGACAAGTACCATTCATTAATATAACCTGCCTCCTTCCTAAGTTTTTGTTTGTTTCTTTAGAGACAATGTCTCACTAAGTAGTTCTGGCTGGTATGGAACTCTCAAGGCTGGGAATTCAGGTATCCACCACCACACTCAGTGAACACACTCTTCAAATATCCACTACCAGTTCAATAAAACTGACCCCATGATAATGAGGTATCACTGTCAGCATAGAGATTCACTGTTAACACCTTCTTTGTGTCAATTACCATCAGTTTGCATTACTTCCTACTCAGTACTGCCATCCCATGGAATTCTGAGGAGTTGAGATGAAGTGTGTTATGTGACGGAACTGGTACAGTCCTAAGAATCACTATCTTTCCTTAATAATCCACATAGCTAGTGGCAGGGGAGATACAGATCAACTTCCAAAAATGTTCCAGGCTAACATGTCCTTCTTCTATCACACAAGTCTCTAGTACTTTCATCTGTTAATACAGCTGAGCCAAGGCAGTCTCTTGAGACGTGGAGGGCTCTCATTTTAGATGAAAGGTAAAGTGTATCTCAAACAAAGGGAGCACATAGAGATGAACTTTCACATAGAAAATGCCATCTCTGTCTACAACACCAGGCTTTCCTTTCTATGCCACAAACTCTGAGATAAGGACCTAAGAGCTGGAGAGGTGGTTCAACAGTTAAGAAAACTTAGTATCCCTTCAGAGGACTGGGTTCAGTTCCCAGTACCCACATGATGGCTCACAACTGTCTCTAACTCCACTTTCCAGGCAATCCAATGCTTTCCCTGATCTCTTCATGTTCCTGCATACAGACGGTGTGCATACATACACTTATACACACATACAACATAAAACAAATACTTGAGAAAATAAAAAGTCCTCTAGATGGTTCTAATAAAACTTAGCAGGTGCTGGGGACGTGGGTTAGTGGGTAAAGTACCAGCTGCACAGCATGGCGTTCTCATTGAGCTTCCCAGGACCCTAGCACTGAGTTCAAGGCCAGCCTGCTATACAGCATGAGTTCTAGGACAGTGAGAGACTCTCTCCAAATAAAGGCAGGTGGTACCTGAGGAATGACACTCAAGATTTCCTTTGGATTCAACATGTATCTCTGCATATGTAAACATACTTAACCAAATACACAAAAAACAGAGTAAAAGTAACTTTTCCTTTGTTTCTGGCTGTCACAGAAATTGTTTTTAGTCACAAAGAATACAAAGTAGCAACATTTTAAAAGCATGCATTTCATTACAAAGTTCAAAGATTTTACTATTAAAGAGAATATAGTGGCCCGTCGGTGGTGGCGCACGCCTTTAATCCCCGCACTTGGGAGGCAGAGACAGGCGGATTTCTGAGTTCAGGCCAGCCTGGTCTACAGAGTGAGTTCCAGGACAGCCAGGGCTACACAGAGAAACCCTGTCTTGAAACAACAACAACAACAACAAACAAACAAACAAAAAAGAATATAGTGGTTAACACTTATAAGGCATGTTTTGCTTTGTTGCTAGAACCTTGAAACATGTTTTACTTTTTATTTTTATACTTTATGTATAAAATAGATGCAGAGCATTGCATAGTTCATAAATGATTTGTTTTCCAAGATAATTTTACCTGACCCAAGGGAGAGCAGTAGCTCTCTAGGAAGGAAGGAACAGAAGAGGAGTTTAGTCTTTCCAACTGCACATTAGTGCCCTATCACAGAGAACGGAGGCAGAGCAGCCCTAAAGAATGGGCAGACTAGGCATAGTGGCACACACCTGTGGTCTCAGTGCTACAAAGACAAAAGAAGGATGGCAAGTTCAGACCATCCTCGGTGCAAGACTCTGTCAAAATAAAGCACAAGATACTTCCGGTATGCTAATACTTTTGTAAAGGACCTAAATTTCCCGAAACTGGATTTTTTACTTTACAACAACCACAAACAGAAATGGTTTAAAATACTACTGATGTTTCCTGATGCCTTTGGTTTTTTTTTTTGTTTTTGTTTTTTTTTTTGATTAGAATGGTATTTACTGAAAGCCTGCTGTTTCATCTCAGGATGGGAAGAGAAAAGGGGAGTACCTGTATATTCACTTGATAATCCGTGGGCCCATGAATAGATCCGTACAAACCAAATCCAACTACAGAGATTCTTCTGTTAACTGTGAACCTGAGAGAAAGAAGCCCATTACAAAATAACAGAAACAATTCTCTAAGTGTTCATATTTTGAAGGTTATAGTTTTTTTAAAGTATTACTTGAATTTTACTTAAAAAAAAAACCCTATCATAAAAGACAATTTTGAAAATGTCATTTTCTTTGTCCACAAAACGTAATGTGGACTCAAGAGGAACTCGAGTAGGATTTGTTCTGTACAGTCAAAGGATTGTAACCTACATAACTACTCTTATTATAATGGCCGTCTGTGCTGCACTTATCATGAAAGATAAGTCTCTTTCATGAATATGCTAATCATTAAGATCGAAGTTCCAAACGTGAACAATCTATCAGAAAGCTGCCCGGATATGTAGCTGGATAGTAGAGAATGTGTCCAGGTTCTGTAGCAGTCAGTCCTCGGCACACAAGGAACAGAGAGGATGCATTTGGAGCATCCTATAAAGCCAGAAGTGGGGCCTCTCAACGCCTCTCTGTGAACTCAACTAAAACCCATTATCAGACTCTGCCTTTAAATTCTTAATCATGTAAAACAGTAAAAATGACTATCGATCCACTGCAATCAATCCCTTGGATAATCTAGGTTATTTAACTGCATTTTTAAGTCTATGATAGTGCATGATTTGGCACAAGATTGTTTTATAAAAGCTTTCGGTACTTCCTTAGAAAAAGTCCCAGAAGTAGCACTAATGAAAAGTCAAAGGCACTTCTAGGCCTTCTGATATTTGTTAAACTGTTTCAAAGAAGTTTCAACATTTGTTATTTATTTTTTTGATTTCAGACATAAAATTCTTTAATCATGTGGAATCAAACTATAATTTATTCCAAGTTTAGAGAGGCACAGAATTCTCATCGTCTGTTGTAGTATGTTCAAGTTTTATTTTTGCTTCATGTTAAAACTCTGATTTCCCAGCAGCTCCCCCTTCCTCCTTCCCTGTCACTCATCCAATTCTAACTGCTTATCTAGCCACAGAGCTTCTAACCTGCATACTGTGTACCATAAAAACCTCTTATAGACACACTGTCCTTTTTCATATTTCAGCTGTTCTTCTCTTTTTAGAAGACAATTTACTCTCCCAGATTAACTATATTTTGTTAGGCAACTCCCTTACCAAACATGTGGGACTTCGGAAAGGAATTTTCTAGATACGGTAATTTGGAAAGTTAATTTATCCCATCAAAGTTCTCCAGATAGTATTATTTGCAGGACATTTCAGAGTTTAATTCTACTCTATTACAGTGATATTCAACATAATACATAATTAACTGCAAGACAGTAAAATATATACTTGCATGTTATTTACTCAGCTCAATTTTGTAAACATGTGAAGTCTTGGGTTTCCGTACTGTGGCCGTACATATGTGAGCTGTACCATGTTGGTCATTACTGCACTGCTGAGGGCACTAAGTGTTTACACTGCCACTTTTCAGTTCTGTAACTGAGGGCTTTTTATCTTCTCAGAGTGTTGGTGAGAATAATCTCAAATTCACATTTTAAGCTGCAACCATTCTTTTACTAGTCCCAGTAGGTTTTTTGTTTTCACCCTAAGGTTCACAGGCACAAGGAGCCAGTTTCGCTACAACTCCTGTGATGTACAGAACAGATTCCCATAACCAACAATCTCCAAATTTATGAAAGGAAGTTGTTTGTGACTATCATCTATAATCATTTTTTATTTAAAAACCAAAGACATTTAAGTACAATTTCACTGACTTCCACAAAAGGCATGGACCATATACGTAAAGTAACTCTTGTATAGTTATTGTTGCCACTGGTAATTGTGTGTAAATTCACACACACAACTTTCTACCCATAAATGTGTTTGTTGTATGGAAGATACAGATACCCTTTCCTACCTCAGACGTAAATCCTACAAACGTCTCATCTACACTGTCATCTTCACTTACAAAAAGATCACTTGGAGTTCAGTGACTTGACCAAGGCTGCTCTACTCACATCTGCTTCACCCGGGTCCACTGGATCCAGCCCAGAGCAGTTTCTTGCACTGCCTGGCCCTCCCCTTATCTTTTCTGCCCACGCAGGAAAGCTGAAATAGGAAGGCAGAGCTTCAGCTTGCCTGGGAACATGCAACTAAAGTCTCTGGCAGAAAATGACTAAAAAGCTGAGCATGACTTTAGAGTTCCAAACAGCTTTCAGCCAGTAGACAAGTTCAGATATGGAAAAATAAATACTGGAATGTAAAGCAAACATGTGCATACTTTGTAACTGACACATGAGCATATACAGAGAGAGGTACACTTCTGTTTGCCTGCTAGTGTCTTACCCAAAGTCTATATACTGAAGTACTAATTTTACTATTAGCTTCAATGTTTCTCTTAAAATTTTTATTATCGGTTGTATTTATTTCTCCTTTGTATTACAGACATGTCATTTATCTCCTAAATTGTGACACTATGAAATTCAAGTTGGTAAAGGAAGAAGTACAAATATTTACTACAGAAAAACTCAGCTTCTGAGAGCTATATACCAATGTACATCCAGAATTAACAGGAAAGACCTCTTCCTGTCTGATCCTATAGGGCTTAATTTATGACCGCAACAATCACCACCAAAACTCAGTAAAGCTGGTAGATATCTCTAGCTGGATTTTTAATTCTTCTTCAATAGTCTATCATTGTTAGAGAAATGTTAACAATTTAACCTGTTAATATTATCACCAAGTACAAAGGTAAAATTTTATCAAAGGCACCCCCCACCCACCAAGAGTCTTGCTGCCTACTGGAACCACTGTTCCTGTGGTCTCCTACTGTGATGAGCTGTATTACTGACCTACTTCTTGATTCTCCAAACACATACTATCTGTTCTCACAGCACTGTCCCATTAAGGTAGAGTGGGTATTTACAATTTCCTTTATATGGAGAGGCTCAGCTAGAATATGTGTCTTGTTCAACTTTCATCTGAATTTTGGTTCCTTTAGTAATTAATCACATGGTATTTTCCTCTTTCAGTGCTCAAGGAAACTCTGTTCCTTGAATGTCAGATAAAAAACTCACCTGTAAAAACTTTGTGAATGGACACTTCTCTGACAACTTAATTCTTCCCAGGGTAATTGGTCTACTCAGGCTTTCTTCTTCGGTCAATTTTGATAATTTATATTTGCCTATAAAATGATCCATTCCATCAAGATGTTCAATTTATTAGCATAGAGTAAACCCAGAACTAAAGTAAAAATTTTAGCATATGATAGTTGCATTTTGATTTCTAAATATGAATTTAAAGACTTGCTTCTAGGATGGTTTGTTAATCTTTTAAGGAAAGCAGATTACAAACTCATCAACTTTCCTACTTTTAATTCACTACTTTCTTTACTTGCCTATTTAATTTCTCTTGGACTATTTCTGTGTCCATTTTCTACTTACTTGGACTAGATACTTAAATCAGTTGTTCCTACTCTTATTTGCTAAAAACAGTTATTTTTTTTCTTTTGTGTGCAGTTTTGGTCTCACCCTGTATTAAGCAAACTATAAGATAAAATCCTTGTTAACTACCTCTCACGAGAGGATAAAGACTAACCACTAACTGTCCCCTCCAACCCAAGCCATGCCCACACCCCGACAGATACCTGATCCGATCACTCGTCCCACTGTAGCCCCAGCGGCTCTCTACTTGCTGGAACCTGTTGATGCAGCACTCCTTTCCTCTGAGGCAGCATCGTGGTCTATCAATGTACTCTACCCGGGGTTTAGGATTGACGGTGAAATGAAGAAAGAGGTTTACCACTTCACGGTCTGACAGAATTCCAGACTGAGCAGGACCTGGAGAAACAGACAATAAACTTAGCACATAAAATTTTAGCATACATTTCAAGTTTTGGTAAATCCTGTTGAGGCTAACCTGAAAGAATGTGTTAAGATAAGCGAAGGCTTAGACGGAATTCCACCATAACAAAAAGGATTTTCTGTCCACTCCCCTGAGTGCCATAGACTCCTATTCACCAAAAGAACCGTTCTCTCTGATGTCAAATTACCTCCAAGGTCAGACAGGTACCTGTTACCTTCCATCGCCTACTTAATACTTGTCTGAGCCTATAATCTGAACAAAAGGACATTTTGGCCCAGAAAGACAGGGAATATGCCTTATTTCTGGGGTTTAGAAGTGAGCACAAGGTGAGAACTATGGTTGGAAAAGCTGTGGAAACAGAAACCACATACAGTAAAATTTTCCAGGTCACTGTCTCTTATTGGAGTACTTAAATTACAGAATTGGGCTGGAGAGATGGCTCAGAAATTAAGAGCACTGACTGCTCTTCCAGAGGTCACCATCTGTAATGGGATCCGATGTCCTCTTCTGGTGTGCATGAAGACATCTACAGTGTACTCATATACATAAAATAAATAATTCTTAAAAAAAAAAGCTTACAGAATTAATGCTGCTCCCTCATAAAGAGGGCAAGAGATCCTTTACAAGGCAAGTAGAAGCAGAAGAGATTTCAAAATACTACAATTCTGGATTAGGAAGCCTACTGGTTTTAAAACACAATCTCTATAAAATCTCAGTGTGAGAGCAGGTGCGGTGGCACATGCCTGTAATCCTGGAACTTCATATGCAGAGGCAGCTGAATTTCTGTAAGCTCAGGATCAGCATACTCTACATAGCAATTTTCCTATCACAGCAGCTACATAGTGAGACCCTGACTCAAGTAAGTTTAAAAAAAAAATCACATACAGAATGTGACTGCTCAACATACATGATGCAAGCTTTACTACTTTGTAATCTGTGGATAAGAAAAGAGTATAAAGCAAACAAGAAACAAGCAAGAAAGAGGACAGAGGGAAGGAGGGAGAGAAGGAAGGACATAAGATACAGAACAGCACCTATGAATGATGAAATAAGGGTGAAGATGAAAACTCATGTTACTTCAGATGGATTAAAACTTCAAGGATAAGGGCCAAGGAGACTCCTTATTCTGTAAAGTTGAATATCCAGCAAATCCCCATGTAAAAAGCCACGCACAATCCAAGTAAGAGGCTGTCCCCCCAAAAACTGTCTTAATCCCCAATGTGGACAGTTCCTGAGGAACACCACCCATGATGACCGCTGGCCTCCACATACTGTGCACTGCATTGCACCACACACACTTTTTAAGGTTAAAAACGCATGATAATTCAAAAGCCTGTGGCAAGAGGATTTTCCTTCATTGAAAAAAAGGAAGTCTTCACTGGGCATGGGTAGTAGCACACCTTTGATCACAGCACTCAGGAGGCAGAGGCAGGAGAATCTCTGAGTTTGAGGCCAGTCTAGTCTGCATTGGTGAGATTCAGGACAGCCAAGGCTTCAGAGAGAAACCCTGTCTTAGGGGAAAAAAAAATCCAAAATAAATAAATAAAACAAAAAAGAAAGTCTTCATGTCATGAAAAACATGTAACAGCTTCAAGAAGATAAATAGCATTCACTAAAATTAAGAGAGAAGTAAATCAAAGAATTCAGGCTTGTTATATAAAAGGATACACCAACCTACTAGAAAGCAAACATAATTTAAAAAAAATCCTACAAGTACCAGAAAAAAGGTATGCATCCTTCTAAAAATAAGCCTGGCCAATGGAAATAACGGAAGCCTAAGGAAACAGGATTACATCTAAACAGTAGACGAATACCTGCCACACTGAAGCTGTAGACCCAGAAACGTACCCTTGAAAAGAGAGAGGAGGAGAAGATGTTCACAGATGAACAGAGGGGTAAGGAGTCCAGAGACTCTGATGGCCTAGTAACTACTATGAAACCACTAACTGTTTAGCCTGACAGAAATGATACCGAACACAACACAGCAGTCATCAGAAAGGATGAATCTACAGGTAATCGAAATGACTATTGATGTTTTTAAAGGTTTATTTATTTTATGTATATGAGTACATTGTCTTCAGACACACCAGAAGAGGACATCAGATCCCATTACAGATGGTTGGAGCCACCATGTGGCTGCTGGGAATTGAACTCAGAGTTTCTAGAAGAGCAGCTAGTGCTCTTAACCACTGAGCCATCTCTCTAGTTCGTGACTATTGATTAAGATAACATTTTATAGGCTTAAAAATATATTAAGAGTTAAAATACATAAAATGGCACGAAACACTAAAGAGAATAAAGTATAAGTAAAGTCTCTTTCGAAGTGCACAGGAAAATTTAAAATGAAATTTTTAATTTTTAAGATTTAATTTTAAAATCTCATAAGGAAGGATTTGTAGATTATCAAGTAACCCACCAAAAGAATAAATTGCTAACCTTCTTTTGCTTTTCACTAAAAAAATAGTAAAAGAATGTTTAACAAGCAAATAGAGAACAAAATACCAGAAATCACTTGGTTCCTCCCAAAGAAAAGAAAAAGCATAAGAAACAGGAAATAAACAAAATCCACCACAAAACCACAGCTGCATCAACAAGTAGGAACATGCAGCAAGATGGTAAATCATAGGCACCAAGAAATTTTAAAATGTAATCAGATATACCAAGTCAAAGGCAATGTTTATAGAACTGGCTGCCTTTAAAAAAAATGCAGCTTACAAAAACATAACTAGCATGCAAAAATAATGAAAACCTACTTAAAATGGGGAAAATAAAGACTATGGCTCTAGAAAGATGGCGTAATAAGTAACAGCACGTGAGTGCTCTTGCAGACCCACTTTGATTCCCAGTCCCCATGTGGGCAGCTCACAACTGCCTGTGACACCAGCTCCAAGGGACCCAAGACCTCTGGCCTTGGGCACCTGCACCCTTATGCACATACATACCTCTTCTCAAACACACACAACTAAAAATAGCAAAAATAAATCTTTAGAAAATATACAATACAAGAAAGCTTTTAAAAAAGGTTGCAAAACTACATTAGTGTCAAAGATATAAAATAAGCTTTACTAGATTTAAAGTGGGACATAAAACAAAGGTAAAGGAACAAATCCAATAAAAGTACTATAAAATTTAATGTACCTAGTGATAGGATATTAAAGGAAAAGAATTATGGAACCAAGTGGGAACGTATTTTCAACCAGAACCAAACCCTCGAACCTCTGTCTCCTGGCAACTGATAAAAGGAAACAGTATAAAACTGTAGACAGGTTAAAATGTTGAGCAATATTTTTAGAATATGTATTTTGTAGATACATGATTAATCAAGTTGTTGAGCAAGATTTTTCTGTTTTCAACAATTCAAAATACATTTACTTTATACATCAAATAAAGAATATACATCAAATAAGATACAGAATAGATGTCCTGACTATACCAGAATTAAAAGGAAATAAAAATAAAATCTCAAATATTTGAAAATTAAAACATACATCTATAATCACAGTTCTGACAAGGAAAAAAAAACCCTCTACTACAAGATTAGAACTGTTTTTTGTTGCTGTGGGTTAAACCCAATACCATGTAAACACTGGGAAAGTACTCCAAGCTCTAAGATGAAATAAACCCTTTCCTCCCCAAGTTGCTTTTGACCATGGTCTTTAATCGCAGTGATAGAAAGCAAACTACAACCAAAACGACAGAAAGTGTTAAGAGAACAATGTTATGTGAAGCATCATACTGAACTTCACTGTCTTAACTCTGTTCTTCAATGTGGACTTAACCACTTTGGGAAACTGACAGGATAGACTAATGCTAAAATATTAATTCCCAACTTAGCGCTACTTAGACATGCCCAATAAAACACTTACAGTGTACACCAAGTGACATGTATATGAATGTGTTTTTTAATTTTTACTATTTTATTCTCTATGTATGATTTTTTGCCTGCATCATGTACATTCCTGGTAACCAAGGAGGCCAGAAGAAGATGTCAGGACCCCACTTATGAACTACCTCATAAGTGTTAGTTATACACCAGAAACTGAAAATCAGGTCTATCTCATTTTAATCCGAAGTAGCAACCATAAAGACCAAAAAGATTTGTTCCTGTAACTTTGGGGAAGGCACTCGATTGTCTCTAGTTTACATAATCTACAAACCGTGGACATGATCTTCAACAGCTCTTACGAGAACTAAATGAAATCACACATAAAGATATTTGTTATGTAAGTAGCACTTAGTCATAGCTTACTCTCATTTTTTGCTCTGGAAATAGTTTCAAATTAGTGAAGTTACAGCCTTACCTGCTGCAAATTCCTCAATTGTCATCAGTGGGAACCGGATTAAGGAAAGTGCTTTTCCTAGAACTTTCTGTTTGTTTCCAAATGTCACAGGCAATTGTTGTCTCTGACACTCTGCCTCTGCCCAACGTACAATAGCTCCAAAAAGTCGGCTTTCTCGGATACTCAGTGTGTCTCTTTCTAGAACTGCACAGAGTGTATCTACAAAGAAAATATAAAGAATATTCTGTTATTTAACAAAGTACTATTTACATTAAGTTTTAAAATCTCATCTTAAAACACACACACACACAATTACAGATTAGATGCTTAAGACTATTAATATAAACTAAGGTTTGCAGGTACAATGCTGGATTAGCAGCACACTCTGCAACCCAGTGACAGAAAGCAACCAGGATAAAAACAATAAACTCTTTGAATGAGAGTGTTGAAGAAAAAGAATAAAGACTAAGCTGAGATCTCTGCAAGGCAGTAGGGAAGAGCAGCTGCTGATGGCACACACTGAATGAGCACCATCTGCTGGGGAAGTACTACAACAGAGAGTAGCCTTGATCAGGGGCTGGACATATAGTCAATAGAGATATGGCCTGGCCAACACAGGCTGTGGGGACAAAGGCAGAAGTGTAGCAGAGGCGCCTCATGCAGAGACTCCACCAGAACTCTGAAGTGAATAGCCTTCAAGGAATCAGCCCCACCATGCCTGGTGAGAGAAACAGAGAAACCAGCAAGTGTGCTGCTGAACTTGCTGCAGTCTCCTTGTACAGGTAGGAAGAGATTATAGGACAGAGGTAATTAATCACAAGTGGCTAGGCCTTCCATACTCCCTGGGCCTCAATCACATGAAACTCTAAGCATGGAAAGAACTAATCCCCCCCACACACCAGAGACGACAAGCTGTAACTAACTGGTGAGGTAGAAATGGAGTTTCTGTCATCCCCATATCTTTTCAATAGAGAACTTGAAGTTACAGCTAAGACAACTAAATAAAGATCCGGGGGGAATCAAATTAGGAAAGAAGTCAAAGTAATGCTATTCACAAAAGATATGATAGAATACATAAATGACTCCAAAAATTCTACCAGGGAACACTTATAGCTGATAAACACCTTCAACAAAATGACTGGATAGAAAATTAACTTAAAAAAAAAATCAGTAGTTCTCATATACAAATGGCAAACTGGCTGAGAAAGAAAGCAGGGAAATAATACCCTTCACCCTTCACAATAGCCACAAATAATATAAAATACCTTGGGGTAACTAACCAAGCAAGTGAAAGACCTCTGTAATAAAAACTTAAGTCTTTGAAAAAGGAAACTGAATTAGATACCAGAAGATGGAAAGATCTCCCATGTTCATGGATTGGTGGAACATAAGAAAAATGGCCATCCTACCAAAAGCAACATACAGATTCAATGCAATTCCCATCAAAATTCCAACAACAAAATTCTACAAACCTTGAAAAAACAATACTCAAATTCATAGGGAAAAACAAAGCAAAAAAATAGCTAAGACAAACCTATATAATAAAAGAACATCCAGAGATATTACAATCCCTAATTTCAAGCTGTACTACAAAGCTATAGTAATAAAAACTGCATTGGACTGGCATAAAAACAGACAGGTTGATCAATGAATCAAATCAAAGACCCAGACATAATGGACACCTGGTATTTTTTATACAGAAGCCAGAAATATACAATGGAAAAAAAGCATTTTCAACAAATGGTGCTTGTGCAACTGGATGTCGCCATATTAAGGAATGTAAATAGATCACCCTGCACAAAACTCAAGTCCAAGTGTATTAAAGACCTCAACATAAACCAGATGCACTGACCTTTACAGAAGAGAAAATGGGGAATAGCCTTGAATATACTGGCACAGGAGACAACTTCCTGAACATAACACCAACAGCACAGACACTGAGATAGACAATTAACACATGAAACCTCATGAAATTGGAAAGCTTCTGTAAGGCAAAGGACACTGTCAATAGAGCAAAACGGCAGCCTTCAGAATAGGAAGAGATCTTCACCAACTCTACATCTGACAGTGGGTAATATCCAAAATATATAAAATACTCAAGAAACCAGATATCAACAAATTCCAATTAAAAATGAGATACAGATCAAAACAGAATTCTCAACAGAGAAATCTCAAATAGCTGAGAAACACTTAAATGTTTAACATTCTTAGCCATTAGGGAAATGCAAATCAAAACAAGTTTGCGACTCTATCTTACAGAATGGCAAAGATCAAAAACACAAGTGATAAAGGATGCTGGGCAAAGGGAGCACTCCCTCACTGCTGGTGGGAGCACAAACTTGTACAGCTACCTTGGAAATAAGTATAGCATTCTTTCAGCAAATCAGGACTCAATCCGCCTTAAGCCCCACTTCTGGGAATATACCCAAGGATGCTCCATCCCGTCACAAAGACACTTGGCCAACTACGCTCACAGACAGCAGCTTTATTCCTAACAGACAGAAACTGCAAACAACTTGTATGTCCCTGAACCAAAGCATGGATTTGAAGGAAAAAAAAAAAAAAAGGTGGTGCATTTACTCAATGGAGTATTACTCAGCTGGGTAAAAAGAGACATCATAAATGCAATTTTCAGGAAAATAGATACAAATAGAAAAAAAAAATCACCCTGAGTGAGATAATCCAGACCAAAAAAGACAAACATGCTATGTACTCACTTATAACTGGATATTAGCTATAAAGGATAATCATGCTACAATCCCTAGACTCAGAAAGGCTAAGTAACAAGGAGGGCATTGCGGGTTAGGGTGGGGGAGACACAGACACACACACACACAGATACACACGCAAGGATCTTTTCTGGAAGGAGAACCAGAACAGACTTCTTGGGTGGATTGGGGACAGGTGGGAATGGAAACAAGAGGGATGAGGTGGAGTTGGGAATGTAGGCAGACAATACTGGAAGACATGACTGGAATTTGGGGTCATTTCAGGATCCAGATAGAGACCTAGTGCAATGGAATGCTTCCTAAAAAGAGGACTTGGAGTCTGAACCAGCCATCCTCTGTAACCAGGCAAGGCCTCCAGTGGAGGGATTAGAACAGCAATTCAACCATAAAACCTCCAACCTATTTTGTCATGCCTGCATGATGTGCTGAGACTAAAGCCTAGCATAATCATATATTCTTAAAAAAAAAAAAGACCAGCAACATATAGGAGAAGATGCAGAGTCCCCAGTCATTAGCTCCATTAGGTGGAGCTCAGGGAGTCCTTCAGAGGATGGGGGGGAAGGATCAGAGGAACCAGAGGGGTCAGGGATACCTCAAGAACCACAAAATCAACTGACTGGGAACTCAAGCGGGCTGGAGATCAGGGAGCCTGTAAGGTCTGACCTAGGTCATGTGCATATATGTCGTGTTTGTGTAACCTGGTGTTCTGGTGGGACTCCTAACAGTGGGAGTGGTGGGAATCTCTGACTCTTCTGGATGCCCTTGAGACCCTTTTCCTCCTGGGTTGCCTTGTCCAGCCTTGACGTGAGAACATGTGCCTGGTCTTATCATAGCTTATTATGCCATATTTTGTTTATGTTCCCGGGAGGCCTTCTCTTCTCTGAGGGGAGGTGAAGGGGAAGATTGAACTGGGGGAATGTGGGGACAGAGACTGGGGGTGGGGATGCAGTCAGGATGGAATATATAAGAGAATAAATAAAAAGGAAAATTTAAAAAAAAGGAAGGAAGAAAAGAAAAAAGCAATTCTGCAAAGAAATTAAGTAGAAATTCTGGAAATGAGTTAACTAAGTAAAAACCATTGTGGAAATCATCTTCAGAAGAGAAGAAAATATTAAGAATGAAGGTCCAGGTGGAGACAATAATACAACCTTATATATAGAAAGAAAAGAAGTATGAGCAAAGGTTCCCAGAACTCTAGGATAAGCAAGCCAGCAGTATGATGCAACATACAAGCAAACTTATGACAGAAATCATATCATTATCCCAACAGACATAGGAAAGGTATGTGGCAAAGCTCAATAGCCCTTCACAATAAAAGTCCTTTAGAAAACAGAATAGAAGAAATATTTTTCAACATAATAAAGGCTATAAATGACAAGTCTATAGTCAACATTACACCAAGTTGGAAAAAACTAAGAGCTATTTTCTCTACACTCTGGACTGAAACAAGGGTGCTGACTATCCCCACTCTTATTTAATATAGGGCTCAAAGTATATAGGGGAAAAAAAAGGAATCTAAGTAAGAAAGGAAGAAGTCTAAACTATTCCTATTCTCAGATAAGAACATGATCCTGTACTTAAAAGGCCCTCAAGACTCCATTAGAAAATCCTCAGGCCAAAAAACTTTCCACAAATTAGATGGTTAGATTACCAATGTAATCTTTCTGTGTGTGTGTGTCACATGTACCACAGCACATGTGTGGAGAAAGATGATGACTTAAGGATGTCCACTCCATCCTTCCACCATATGGGTACCGTCTTGCTGACTTTATTACTAAAGTCATCTCACTGGCCTATTAGTAGCTTTTCTACACATGAATAATGAACAAGTCAAGCTAGAAATGAGAAAAGATATCTCATTCACAATAGCTGTTTACAAAGGAATGAAAACTAAAAAAACTAAAGGAAAAAAAGACACAAGAAAATGTATTTCCATGATCGAAGATAGGCAGAATTGATACTATGAAAACATGACTGAAAATAATCCACATATTCAGTACAACCTCCATCAAACCTACAACGGCATTCTTCATAGAACTAGCAAGACAACTCTAAAATGCTGATGGAAGCAGAGAAGTCCACATATTAGCCAAAGTGATCCTGAGTAGAGAGGGTCATGCTGGAGGAGGACGTCAGAGCCAGAATGGCCCAGAACCAGACACGCAGGCCAACTGAACAGAATAAAGGAAAATGTGATATATACACACACTGCAATCCTAGTTACCCATAAAAAAATCGTATTTGCAGGAAAACGGATGGAACTAGAAATTACCTTAAATGAAACAAACTAGACTTAGAATTCCCAATACAGCATACTCTCTTATGTGATCCTACATGTTCTGGGCATACATGTGTATAATTAGAAATGGGACCATAGAATGGTAACAACAGACTTGAGAGTAAAGGAGGAGAAAGAAGGTAGTGGGATGTGTGTGCCGTGGAAGCAGAGGAGGGCTTGCTGGGGTGAAGAAGAACGGAGAGGAGCACGAG